AAATGTCATTTGTTTTTCTTTTTAAATGTCACTTTTTGCTGCAGCAGTGCAGCAGGTTCTATACATCCTACAGATCCACCACTTCACAGGCAGGTTATGGGGACCCTCCAGGCACAATATTTGAAGGATTTTTTCATTTTTTACTCTTACCCTGTAAATCATGTAAAAATCACTGTTCCTTTAAAAAATATTTTTCTTGTTTTTTTTTGTTTTAAATTTCATTGATTCCTGTCATTCAGGGCACTACCCGGATCCCCATACACTTTTTATGGCCAATAAATTGCATATAAGGCTTCAAAATGGGGACCTTTAATTTTATGAGTTCTACCCCCATAGACTTGCATTGAGTTCTAAGTTCGAGTTAGAACTTTTTCAATGTTCGAAAGTTCGAGTTAGAACCGAACACGGGGGTGTTCGGCTCATCACTACTAGCTACGGCTCCGTACATAGGAGAAGGAGACAAGCCTGTTCATGGCTATCACTTCTTACATAAATGAAAAAAAGAGAGTTACTCACCCAGATTACACAAATGAGTAGATACAACACGATTCACCTGCACAGAGAAATGAATACACTTGATATATAATATTCTATGTTAGCATCTTTAACAAATGCAGACTTCATATGAAGTGTTCACCATTTCAGTAATAAAGAGTAACTGGGGACAAATCCTAACATTAATGCAATCTAATAATTTACACCAATATGCTAAAGCCAAAGTCTTCTGAATGTATGACTAATATAAGTTGGTCAACTTATATTAGTTTGGCCCCCTAAAAAAGATAAAGGATATATTAAGATTTGTATTGGCTGCAGCCAGAATATGTATATCACGTAGCTGGAAATCTGCGGATCCACCTTCATTGGAGAGATGGGGGAACATAATGGAAGAGATAAGATACATGGAAGAACTGAGCGCAAGGGACTCAGACAGGAAAGATAAGTACGACAAGATATGGGAGAGGTGGGAAGCATACAGTTAGAAAATCCAGGATATAGACAATCCCCATAGAGGTTCATAAATAGTGGATTTAGGATATGAAGACTGAAGAATCTAAAGCACTTGACCCGTAAGAAAGGTAGACTAGAGGAGAGTATGGAGGTTATTGAAAGGTTTGGGGGGTAGGGACAACACTCAGGGAGATTAGAAAGATAAGGCGGGGAAAGGTAATAAACACAAGGCATGTTACAATATCTAAGGTAAGAGGATGAACAAATGCACTAGAGAATGGAGACACAATTATAGAATAGAAGCATAGAGGGGTGAGAGGGGGTGGGAAATGGAAACACAATATAAATGTAGTAGTTTATTGTCTTATAGACATCCAAGTTGATTCATTTGTAAACACAAGTTTAGAGTGAGGAAAGCAATAGAAGAATGGGAAAGAGAAGGGTTTTAGGATAGGTTTGAGAGTTAACACTAAAGAGGTTTTGCACAAATGCACATAGTATTTGTTCCCCCTCCCTCCAAGGAAGAATGGTAGTAGGATTGAATGTGTGAGGTAAATGAGAAAGTAGCGCAGAGATAATTTTTAAATTATATTTATGTATTGATTGGAATGTAGTAGAAAGTAACAGAAACGTTTCTGGTTACCAAGAAAAGTTATTTATGCTATATAATAAGATGCAATTTTATATATTTCTTCCCGTATATGAATATGTAAATGTACTACTGTGAAATAAAAACATATTAAACAAAAAAAAAACTTATATTAGTTGAGCCAGCGATGTTGTCCCTTGCTGGATCCGTAATTGGATCCAGCAAGGGACAACAGCCACATGTCACATAACTCTAAGCTTCCTCTTCCAGATCGACAGGAGTCAGCATTCTAAACCAATGAACGCTTGGACAGCATTTTTAAAATCTCAGATCCATTGAAGAAAAAAAAAACAAACAAAAAAAACACTGTAAGGGTTAAGATATAAAGTAATTTAAAAATTATGACAGTGTTGCGCTTTGAGTAATTATATCTTTTTTTTTTTTGCAAGATTTTCTAGAGATCAAGTGACTGCAATAATTTAATTTACATAGCGTGCAGAATTAGCTAGGTTCATGTACATTTGGACTCCTTCAAGTCAGTTTGTCCTCCAGTCATAGTCCCCTCCCTGTAGATTGGCAATGCATGGACTATGATGTGTCCACACTGATGGAATTTCAGCAATGTCCTAGCAGCATTGTCAGCCCTCTCCTGGAAATGACCCAAGGTGCTTAAAACTGACAGAAACGCCAGGTTGACACAAGTGGAAATACAGGAATAACATAGAAAATGGCCACAACTGAAACCTGTGCAGGATATGTCATTATTTTATTTTAAGCTTTACATACACTTTAGGGAAGTGACAATAACAAGTGAAGATGATCATTAAATGTGCTCAGAAGAGCACACATTCTATAACAGAACTAGTCTACCCAAATGGGCGTAAATTACATTTTATTTGTCTCAAACCCATTATATTGCCATTCTGAACCTCTTAGCTTAACACTTCTGGATCTAGTTTTCCAACAAGAGAACTTTGGGTAGAAGTGACCAGTGTTGGTGTTAAAGGAGCTCATCACTAGGCAAGGGACAATAAAATCATATTAAAGTCAAAAGGTTTGTAAGCTGTTTCAGATGTTGATTAAATCACTGACAATAGATGTTGCTGTTTGATGTTTAAAAGTTATAGATTCCTGTAGAATCTGCTGGTCCCCTGAGCACTGGCACTGATATCCTGTTTTAGGGAGGCTCCTTTTCCTTTCAGGGTCCTATGGAGCCACCCCTGTGTACAAGCTGCGTGTGTCTCCAGAAAGACACAGACACAGCAAAGCAAGCCACTCCTCTGTTCCCTTCTCCCGATCCGCCATCCTCCCTTCTTTCTCCTCCAAAATAGTAGATGAATAGCTGCTGGAGACTGTTTTATCTTTTGTGAAATTGTACTCACAGGACATTTAGGGAAGCTGAGCTGAGAGAGTTAGAGCCACATGCTTTGAAATAATGAGCGAGTGCTTGGGAATTAAATGTAAAGAAATACTTTGCTGGGGACATTTAGATTTGTTGGATCTGGATTCATTATTGAAAAAAAGTTTGAAGGTTTAATACTACTTTAAGGTGAATTAGAGTGCAAACAGCTATCAAATCAAAGCATCTAACTGGTTAGTATGTGTTATAATATTTTATTACGCTGTGTCTGGGGCAACAGTCAACACAAATGTCCACTATAGTCATACAGTTATATAAATATACCATGACAGTGTCCTGTATAATCCATCATCTAAAAAACTGAAGAGAGTCACCTTGGTCATGATGACAATGGTAAGATAATGAAGTACGGCTCCAGACATAACCGCTGCAGTGTTAGCATGTTCCTTAAGGAAGTCCCAAGAAGAGCGCATAAAGACCACAGTTATCACCACACGGTATATAACCAGGGCCTGGGCTATACCAATCAATATGGCAATCTGCAAGGAAAAGATGTTAGAGAGAGTTAGGGGTTACAGAAGCAATAATAAACCAGTGATGAAAAAAGGTAGTTATTTGACTAAGATAATAAGCTCATATATATTGGAATTCCATACCGTGACAGCCACGCCAAGTAGAACTATAGTGGAGCGCAGGTAAGAATATTGGTGTATCTGGATTTGACAATCTGGATTATTAATCAGCTCCAAAGCCAGCTCCTCCTGCACAGAATACATAGTGATCACTGTACATATATTAGACTCTAGGGAACACAGTAAAAGTTCTGTATACATGAAGGAATGGCCTGTTTCAACATATTTTGTAAATGCATTGCAGTAAAATATATCACTTAACGTAACACAAATCAGTATTTACTTCCATAGGTCTATCAATGTCCCCATTTTCGTGCATGTATTGCACAGTGCAGTCACCATAAGTATAACATCTTAGTATACATTGCAAACAGAGACACGTCTATTATTTCCACATTGTTCTCAACATACCTCATCCTCGTCCCAGCTGTACAGGTTCCACCAAAAAACAACTCTTGCCCTCTGCCTTTTCCACAGTTCCAAGAACACAGTAGCTGAAGAACGACATAAGAAAGCTGTGAGTCTTTTTTTTTTAAATGCATTTATTTATTGAAGCACTTTATTTGGACAATAAATGTAGAGTGTAAATATACAACCTTTTTAGGAATTAGGAAATCCAAACAGGAACCAAAACAATAGTAAAGAAATACTTCTGCAAAAGTGTGGCCAACCAGCTGGGCAATGGTTCAACATAAACACTCTGATAGTATCTCCTACAATGACAATCCTAAATAAACAGCTACAGTATGTATATACGCCCTTCCAGCTAAAGTACAGCATATAGACATGCATTTTTAATGCTGAATATACACAGTGCAATTTTCTAGCAAGTTTAACTTTTTGAACCTGCTTTTGCAAAAATATTGGACGGATCAATGAAAACTACAACAGTTCCCTTCCTGATACATACAACATATCAGCTGTTGATGGTAGTTTGCTTTGATCCATCTAAAGCCTTGGTTCTCAACTGGTGGGTCGTGACCCAAAAGTAGGTCGTGACCCAGTGTTCAGTGGGTCGCTGCATGCCTTCCACTTTTCTAGGTGAGCGGCTCCTCTGATATCAGATAATGCCTGCTTAGATGGAGGAGTCACTATGTCACCCTAAGGAAGGGACCCTGAGTGGCTCAGAAACATTGGATTATTTATGCATACAACGTATTATGAATAAATCTGAGCTCATTATTTCACATTTCCGTGCTGGTGACTTCTTTCCTATGCTAGGTTTTTTTATATGTGCTTTAGAAATAAAAGGTTTAAATACCTGAAACATTTTTTAGAAATGAACACTTTTGGAATCTTCAAATACAGAGATTTATATTTGTTATACTTACCCCAGACTGCCATAAACATTGCAAAGAATACTGTGCCTTCATTGTCAAATAAATGTGTCACCTGCAGTGGAAAAATGCAGCCGGTAAAAATCTACTTACATTTGCATTATAATCATCTGGTGCTTGTCTACAAATTGTAATAGTGCTCAGATCTAAATTATTTGAGCTCCCAACTGGGGATGTACTTTATAAAGCAATAAATATATAACAATAAATACATTTTAAGCAGTCATGCCTTGAAGGCGGCACCATAATCCTTAATGTATACAGCAACACACCAGAAGACTTGCTGAAAGTAACAGACCCCTCAGTGTATGTCTCCATCAAAAAAAAAATGGAGGATGTGGCCCCAGGCATGTCTTATTGTATTCATTGCTATATACATTGTCCTATGTTGGAAGCTCAGATTTTAGAATAAGGGACCACACATTGCAGAGCTGACTTTGTGCAGCAATGCGTCTTCAAATGTATTTGCAAACAAAAACCTCTATTTTCGTCCTAAACGTTGGAAACCATTTTTTTTTTGTGCTGGGTTATTTTTTATATTGTTCAGTGTACAGCCCTGCCTGTGTGCAACTTTTTTATGTTAGTTAAAAATTGATTTAGATGGTGGCTATTATGTGCTCCTTCTAAATGACAGTTGGATTAATTTTTGGACCAATCACTGATAAAAATAACATTACTTATATCAGCATATGTAATGTAGCTATAAGAACACATCATGTGCAAACCAAGCAACTCCACCAAAAGCAAGGCTAGGTTTAATTTGTATGTACTGGTTCATCTAATGCATAGTTACAGCATACCAGAGAAATTCCCCTCAGGTCAACATTTTTCACACTAAACTAAATGTCACGGTTTTGTAATAAAACTTTCTTCCCCAGAAAGAAGAATGGGTTGTAGATTGTGCTCTGCTTGAATTTTGCATTTACTATGTTAACTGGTAGAGGATTATAATTTAGTAGATTTACTAAATTAGAATACAGGTACCCTTTATTTTTGATAATATGCTTACAGCCGGCCATGTTAAAGGGGTAGATGGAATAAAAATAATTGCAGAAACGTCACCAGCACACCAAATCCTTATAGGATCAAAGTTCGTAGATTTTATTGCAAACTCATGTCAGTTACACAAGCGCTTTCGGGGCCACACAGGGTCCCTTCATCAGGCATAGCAATGCCTGATGAAGGGACCCTGTGTGGCCCCGACGTTTCTGCAATTATCTGTATTTGGCGGCGCCATCCGCAGTCATTCCGAGCACCCCTCCCCGATCACTGGGTCATACCGGTAAGGAGTGCAACTAGACTTTTCTTTTTTTTTTTGTATGGAATAAAAAGTCGCAAGCAGAGGAGAGAAGAAAAATAAGAAAAAAAAAAGAGTGACATTTTACTGGAAGTCTGCCAGTGACTAATCAAGATTATTTTTACTGTGTAATTTAATCGGGTGAACACTAGGCTGGGGAGCTATTGCACATGGGGCCAGTCCTGGTAAAATATGTTGGGTGATGGCCTTGAGTGTAGATTCTTCACCATTCACGCATCAATCAGAGCGGGAGCAGCAATCAGGGACACATGGAGAGTACCGTATAGCTACCTACAAAAAAACCTGGGATCACAGCATCTTGCGGAGAAAAGTATTTCAACACTGACTTCATTTGCGACTCTGGGACACCATGCAACCAAATTCCAAGAGCAACAAAGGAAGCTGATGGTGGAAGATGTGAATCCGCACCTATCATGAAAGGGCCAATTAGTTGCATTTGCCCCCTTCCCTGGGCCATAGGTTCCCAGCCATCCCCTAAATTTAATGCTTGTCCTGGCATTTGATCTTACCTTTGCATATGTACATGTGTCTGACAAGGGCCAGTAGGGACAATTCTGATCACAGAGTGGACACATCAGGGTTGTATTGGCTTTGCAGATCTCCTGGCTAAGGAGAAAAGAGTTTCAAGGCCAACATAACAGCATTTGGATACATCTGGGTTCACTAACAGAAGACCATTAACACCAACCGACAAATATAGCAGGTAAGAGGCTGCATCCTTCAAATGTTTAAAGTAATCATTTCCTAAGAGAAATATTGGGCCTGCCTTTGCTGACCTCATCTTTAAAATTGCTATTCACATGGTTGTAATACCAATTTGCTAACTCTATGCCCTTAATACTTTATGAGTCACTGACCTAGAACAAGTAGGTATATAAAAGAAAAAACTAAAAATTCAGAAGCCCTTATATGCATACTTTATCCAGAGTCAGGCAGCTAGCATTTGCAGAATGAGAATGTGCTTTTATAAGAAGTGGCATTTGACATCATGCCGCATGTTCAAATAAACAAGACCCCCTAAACAGAAATTGATGTTTGTTATGAAAGCCAGAAAGGGAATCTATTGCATTCTTTATTATATTTTCTTCAATATGTTGAGCATTGAAATAAAATGTACAAATGTTTTATTTCTTTTTAAATTTAGTAAATGTGAAATATCACATATGAATATTTCAAATTTACCACCTGCAGCCAACTGGTGGAGCTATACGTAGGGTCTATTCTCTGTGAAGTTCCTGCTTTCCATGCAGTTGTTGTGCTACAAATGGACCTGAATGAGTTAGAGGATGGACCCTTACCCCCACTCCTTTTACCTACAAGCAAAGACAGCAATGTAAACTATACCCCAATCACCATTGTAGCTTCCCTTTAATGTACAATTGATAAGATACAAAAAATTGCAGCCCATGTATTGCAGCTATTTATTCTTTCTTGGCATATTTACTAAGCTCTGTAGCATGCAAATAAGGTGAAAAAAAAGTCTTTCTTGCACATTGTTCCAATTTCTGCTCTACTTCGACATTTATAGAACATCACAAAAAACAGCAGTCAGGCGAATGATATCTTATGAATCAACAACCTATGCCATCATTTTTATGAATTGACTTTTACACAATGGCATACCTGGGGAGGTGGGGGGGGATGAGAGATGGAGAGCACCGTATAGCTACCTACTCCAACCTAGGATCACAGCATCTTGCGGAGAAAAGATGGTGCAATCCATTCTGGGTACAAGAAGCTGGGGGTGCTCTAGGAGTACACCAGCTCTGCACAGTACCACTTTATGGAAGCTTCATATTGCCCATTGCTCTGCAGTAGCACCTGTGTAGCTGCAATGTGCCTGCCATTCGCTGACCTCAGATGCAAAGCGAAGCAGAGTGGAGGGAAGCTCTTCCGGCTCCTTCTCAGCTTTGACAGGTCACATAACACAAAGTGAAGGGGAAGCCTGAGAAGACTGTTCTTCACTCTGTGCTGGGCACAGATCTGCATCTGAGGTTTGCTGGGTGTTTTTACTGGCGTGATTATAAACTGCCTGGCCCAAAAAAAAGTCACTTGAATGTTTTGTTGAACCGTGTTTAGCTTTGATTACGGCATGCATTTGCCATGGCATTGTTTCAATACCTTATACAAATAGCACAACATTTAGTTCCAACCACAGTTTCATACATTTTTCACCATGATCTTGTAATGATGATGGGAGAGTTGGACCAATTTGTAAAGTCTTCTCCAGCACATCCCAAAGATTCTCAATGGGGTTATGGTCTGGTGGCCAACCCATGTGTGAAAATTAATGTCTCATACTCCCTGAACCACTCTTTCACAATCTGAGCCTGATGAATCCTGGCATTGTCATCTTGGAATATACACTTACCATCAGGGTCATACACTATATTCAGGTAGGCAGCTGACTTCATTTTTGGGGACATAATGTTGCTGAACGTAAACCTGACCAACCGAAGCGTACCCAGATGTCACAGACTCACCCGGCGCGGCCTCCGTTCCAGCGGCGCGCCATCTCATCCGTGACGTCACGCTGGGCTCCTCCCACTGGTCGCGGCTTCTCCTCAAAACCACAGGTGAGTCACTCACTCGGCGTTCCATCGTTGTGGAGACTCCCATTGGAGATTGTGCAGAGACTGGCATACTGGCATACAGGGACCCGGCAACAGAACCACCAGCAGTGGCTGGCTCTACCCATCTATTACCTACCGGATTAGTCCATCTCAGTATCCTGGCACCAGAACCGCAAGTACACCTAACTGAATTGATCCATTACTGTGAGAAAGAACTGTGTCTACTACTATAACCTAACCTACTAAATTGCTGGGAATTGTGGAAGGGACTTACTGAGTACCATCATCCTCTGCCTGCAGAGTACAATTGCTCTATATCTACCTGACACCCCACTAATTCTTATAAGGAATAATACCTAGCTGTCTGTTCACATAGGTATTCTGTCATACTGGGAGTTCTGGGAATTCTATTGATCGCACACAAGCCGCTGTTGCTGGGTAACCTGCTGGTGAACTACAGTCCCATCACTCCTCCATGCACTGCACAAATACTGTTATATATTTCACATACTTGCCTGAGGTTCGGTTTCCCTCCTTGGCTAGGAACCTGCGATACCACTCATAGGCCGGGGTACATGATGTGTAACGGTTCCCGATCGCACTGAGTGTACTAGGGAACCACCCAACCCCTTACTTCTTGAGTGGCCTCAGTTCCGCATCGGTGATCTAGATGTCCTGTGAGGCATGCACGGACACACACTGATGGCCATCCTTGGAATTTAGTACCCGGGACATGGCGGATATCCAAATAGGCTGCTGTTTGCAGCCTTCCCACTGCTAATTTAGCATGCAGATAACTCGTACCCATTTGAATTGGAGCAATCCAATATGCTAGTCACTCTTCTGTTAGCCACGATGTATTAGGCACTGAGTGCACCTGAGGGAGTAGTTGTGAGGCTGTCTTCTGGGGTCTCCTTTTGGAGTAGCCCTCCCTGGACCCTCATTTTTTTGGGAATTGGTCTGAAACTAAGGAGGTTTCTGTTCATCTTCCCCCCCCCCTTTTTTTCTTTGTTGTCTTTGATGTCCAGGTTTTGGTGTTTTCCTCCGGTTACCCATTGGTGTTTCCTCTTCCTGCTTTGGTGATCATGCCACCTATAGGTTTCCCCAACTGTTTGTAATACGGTACTCTTATTTATTATATTGGCCTCCTCATGTTTAGACGCTGTTGCCCTTACTTATTCCACTGTCTGGGCGAAAGTTTAACCCCAAAAATCTGGAGAATACTGCCCTATGGGGGCATCTGGTGGCCTCATCGGGGATTGGTAAGAATGGTACCCTCCTTTTTTCGGTTTTTCGATTATCGATGTTTTCTTTCCTTTTGTTTTTTCATGCAATGTACCTGTTGACCGTAGACCTTGGACATTTGAATGCACTGTTGTATATTATGCAGAAGCATATTATTACTTACGATCACTGCTTGCTTTTCATTAGACCTTTATTAGATGATTTATATGACCTTTTCTAAATTCTTAATTTAGACCACCTCTTGACCTGAAGAAGCATTTTACATGTGAAACGCGTTGTTATCTTCCACCAATTTCAACTCCCTGGGTCAAGCTAAGAATCCTTACACTAAAAATACTATTTGCATTATCATGTACCGTAACTATTCTATGATGTGTATGAATCATGTTATACTGGTTGAGACATCAATTGGTGTAATCAGAACAGCAAATTAATACCAGGTGGAGTTCAAGGAAATCATGTTAAACTAATCAGATAAGAGTCCTAGTGGGCTAAACATCGAATCCATCTCTATTCAACTGATGGTTTCAAATACTTAGAGTCATTATCTTGTACATACCGAACACCCCACTTGATGAATTGCTTTAGATTACCTATCAATTGAATTGTGTCAATCATTGCTGTAGGAGTTGAGACCTACAAACTAATTGTATTTTTGTATTACTTAGCTTAACCAATCATGTCAATCTTGCCTCAGGGCACTGGTGGAGATTAGAGGTGTTTCTCCTGTGGTTTTCTCCTGTGGTTTTTATTATTCGATTTGTCCTTTTTTAATCATCTATTGAATAAAATGTATACATTTTATATAAAAACACTCCTGTGAAGTGTTGTTCAAAGTGCCTAAAAAACCCCATCTCTCCACATTGTCTCTTTCCAACTGGCCTCAGTTCCGCAGCTGAGATCCAGAACCATTACTGCTTGAACGGCTGTGACACCAGGTCATAACATTATCCATTGGAAGGCTTTACCCATTTGCTTAGGTAAATCCAGGTGGTGACTTTTTTGGCTTGGCAGTGTATTTACAATGTTTAAAGAAAGAAAATATACACTCTGGGTCATTTTAGGCCAATATTACTATTTAATTTCATCATTGCATACATGCACATTTCCTATGTTTTATCCCTTTAAAAGACACTGCAAGTTCAATTGCCAGGAATACACCCAGATCTTCATGTCCTGCTGTAGGATGACAACACACAGCATTGTTTGTACTGACTAGTCCACCACTTCCACTGTCACTAGAAATGAAATGACTTGTAGTCCAAGCTAATAACAGGGAAGGTGAAATCCTTGAGATAACATAGTAAGTGTGTACAGGGCAAAGATGGAGAAAAATTACAGTTAAGTTAAGTTGTTGCTTAGGGTTTACGTGCACTTTAACCAGTTGAAGTCCGGGGTGTTAAACCCCCTTCCTGTCCAGGCCATTTTTCAGTATTCAGCGCTGCGGTACTTTGACTGACATTTATTCCGTCATGCAACGCTTTACTGAAATGAATTTTATACCATTTTTTAGGGACAGATAGAGCTTTCTTTTGGTGGTATTTAATCACCACTGCGGATTTTATTTTTTACTAGATTAAGGAAAAATTACCGAAATAAAAAACAAAACAGTTTCCCCTATATTAAATGATAAAACATTACCCAATTTTTTGGTAAACAAACAGCCGGTAACGGCTCTATGCACCCGCCAATGCAGCTGTGCCGTCCTTTTTTAACAGGCGGACGGTAACTGGTTAAACTGTATGTCCGGGCAAAAACATTTTTCTTCAATTTTGGATAGTGTAGGAAACAATTAGAACCCCTGTTGGGTTTCACTGCTCTTTAGGACAGATTTCCCTTCACTTCCTGCTGACAGCGTTGGAACACTCCAACATAGACAAAAAATAAAACTGATTTGTAGGTGGAAGAATAAAAGTCCTTTTGGATTTGGGTTTCTCCCTGTCCCTATTGCAGATATTCCATCACTTCCTGGTAAAATCTATCAGTGGGACGGGAAGTGAGGGTAAATCTTTCACACGGAGCAGTACAAATCCAACAAGATTTCTAAACCTTTCCCACTCTTCCAAAAACTAGGAAAATACATTTTTGGCTTAACATGCACAATTATGAGACTTTTAGGTATATGGACAGCCCTACTAAAAATACCCTATTAAAAATAACGTAAAATATTTGTCCATCACTGAGCTGTAGATCCTCAAATCATCTCTGAATTGGTCCCGACATTGTCCTTCCTTCTGGTTCTTCCTCATGGTTCCTGTGTGTGTTGTAAAGTAGCCACCACTCCAAGCTCACTCCTGTGATTGACTACAATCTCAAGTTTAGTTTAGTCATTTGTATTGAGATTGTAGTCTATCAGGTTAGCAAGCTTGGAGCGGTGGCTACTTTACAACACACACAGGGACCATTAGGAACACAAGTAGCCACCCTCCAGAAGGAAGGACAATGTCAGCACCAATTCATAAGATGATTTGAGGATCTACAGCTCACTGATGGACAAATATGTTACATTATTTTTAAAAGGGTACACACATTTCATTCTGGTGTTGCTTTTTTTTTAGGTTTAGGTGGATCCTAGTGGGCTGAGTTGAATACCCAACATCGAGCTCACTCTGCCATAATTTCTAACTCTTTTACTAGAATACTTAAGTTGTGGGTGTTCCCCAACCTCATTGTGTATTCCGGATTCTCCTTTTGCATTCTTAGTAATAAAACAAAATTTTTACAAATTCAGCGTGCTGAAACTGTCCTTATAATAGCTACAACAAGTGTACAGATGCAGAAACTCGAGCTCAGGAAACTCATTAATAAAGCACGAGAGGCATAACAAATTGTAAAAGTAGTTTAACTCAACTCTTCAGCCTCTGCCCAAAACAACCTTTAAGGCGTTTCCTCTTTTTCTGATAAACCCCCATCAGCCCATCCAATGGGAAAAAAGTATTATTCATTGGCATTTAATACATCCCCTGCTTCGAAGACCCACCAAAAATGAAGGGTCAGTTTGGTATAATAGACAATATGCAGAAGTTGCTGAATGGCACCATTACTTACCTGATCTGACTGGTGTTGAAATGCATAAATCCGTAAAAAAATACCCCCAAACCAACAAGAGCCGCGGGAAAAAGCATAAGGGTATACCATCCAAGCCATGCAAAATAGAGAGCCACCTTCTCTCCAAAATATAGTCTGTAGGAAAAGGAATTATAAACATAGCCAAATGAGCTGTAGAATATATATTTATAGTCTGATCAATATGTTTAGAGGAATAGTTGGAAGCAGTAATGCAAGCATATAAAAGAAGCCATTTTAATTCAGTTATGCATTTAAAAATATTTTTCACTAGTGCTATTCTGTCAATACAGTTGTGACCTATATCCCCGTGCACCACAAGACTCAGGAACCTTGGACACTTCAGCAGGAAGGGGGCAAAAAAGGCAGGACCTACAATGTATGCTGCTGAATTGGTGCATAGCTCATGTGGAGTACACTTTAGACTTTTTGCCTTGGTTGCTAAAAGACCTTGTCCTCTCCCTGGTAGGGGTCGACCTCTGAACCCAAATACAGATCTTTTGGGCTGATCCAAAGGGCCCCACATATTATACTGTATATTATCTCCAATACTACTCATCAAAGCAGTGGCTTAACAATGGCCATAGCAGTCCATGCAGCTGCTATGGGGCCTGGGGTAAGGGGGAGCCCCATTAGGAGGGATGGTTAGGAAAACTAAATCGTGAGGTTTCCCATATAGAAGGGTTGATGTCAGACCTCCGGATTGTCTAGTCATAGATCACCTCTGCACAGTAAGAATCATTTGCTTATCTATCTTAGCAGAGAAGATTTATTGCCTTCTGAACTTCTGAAATAGACTGGGATTTGTGACCGCATCAGGCATACAGGGTTAATTTCAGAGTTTCACCTCTGGTTAAACCTTATAGGAGAGCTGATGTTTGTTCCACAAACTTTTTTTTTAATGAGCTAGAGTTTAAATAAGTTTATATTAGGGTTGAAGAGTGTGTACAAGAGCATATATCATTTTATCAGAATATAATATTATGGTAATTATTAGTGCTACTATAACTTTCACCCTCCCTAGTAGTGTACTGACTATGCTGACAGCTCTTCTCGTGTTGCTGGACCATGATACATATTATTGACACTGCCAGCTGCTACAGAGAGAGCAAGTCGGTGGCCCGAACGTTTTGCTATGGGGCCCCGTGTTTTGTAGCTATGCCCTTGCATCAAAGCTAATAGAAAAAAATACCACTATGTAAATATTACTGGTTATCCTGCAGTTCATATATTCTTGAGGGTAAATTGAACATTCATGTCAATCCTCCACCACTGTCTATAATCCACAATACAGCACCAGTATACCAAGCATGTCAGCAGTTCTGTTCAAAAATAAGAACACTGCTAGAGAAATCGGTTTTATTTTTAGTTCTATAGTAGACATCAGTATTTTAGACCACTGCTTTTCATCTCATCTAGTCCATTTACCCTCCTTTTAAGCTAGCTAGCATTTTTCAAAAACAGAATTATGAACATTGAGTTCCATTGCCAGTCAGTCATAAATGTGATGACATGGTCATCAGTTTATGGGTTATATGTGTATTGGTGTTGGGTTATGTTTAAGTATGTTATACTGTGTAATCTGTTTATCAAAAGACTGTCAGCACCACCCCTCGTTAGCTCCCTTCGTATTCCATGGAGCTCAGGACAATGACATTCTCCTGTGTATGGCCACACTCCTGCTATGGCTGTCTGGGGCTCTTCAGCAGCTGGACCCCTGTGGGGTTGTGCAGTCAGAATGTCTAGGGAAGGCAGGGTGGATATGATGGGATTATAATCTGATCTGATCACTTTGTGTATAAAAGGTTGCCCAGTTGCTCAATAAATCAGAGTTTGTTTCCCCCTATACTAGGGTCTCGACTAGTGACTGGGGAAACTGGGAGCTAAAGATCAGAGGATTGCAATATCTCCCGAGCAAGGAAGAATACAGCAGCGGACATACTCATCCTGAGTACTGAAGTCAGTCACAATAAACCCCACTGCAATTGTAATTATATGTACCTACCGCCATTTACTGACTCTGACAATAGCTATATTACAATGCCAAAACTCAGAAATCCAAATATCCATACAAGACCCCTCCATCACCTGATCTCTTTCACAGGCTGTATGTAGATGACATCCCGCCAGCGTGCCCACTTTTGTTTCAATTGCTTGCCGAGAGTCTCATCCAACTAAGAAGAAGCAAAGATCAAAACTGTGGTCCAAGCCATCAAGGAACAACCGCATCCGAAGATATATGTACAGTATATACAATTTACACAATGTGTTTATCACACTAATACAATGTTACACTCACAGCGTGAAGTGGGAAAGTGGTCTCAAAAACACCACTTTTTAGCAAGTCATCTAGAGTTTCTGCAAGAAGAAGCACAGGTCAATGTAAGATGTCAGGTGTATTAGGAAATTATTTTATGAATCCTTATGCAAAGGCATCAGAACATTACTATTTTAAATTTCATTTGATTTCAACATTCAATTTTGGAAGGAATGGACTTTCCCAAGCAAAAAACATTTTCATTGTTAGAATTCTGCTTTTACTGGAAAAATAATAACAAAATAATAACCATATATGCCCAGTTATAGGCTTGTGCTTCCATAATCTGCTTTTTTTTGTGACGCTAAAGTGATCTCTGCATGTACTAAGACACCACTGCTGCGCACTGCAGTTGACAAGCACGGCTTGCTATATTGTGTGCTTTATTAAATCATATAGATTAACATTGAAATTGGTAGGTCTTCCTGCATTCAGCTTTCTTCTACATACACTCCAGAATATAGCACCATCTCTCTGATACAAGTACAGCTTTTTACGAGCATGTATAAATACACATACACAATACAGGACAATTATCTGATCAAGCTGTTTTGGAGCCAATTGTATGTCTATTGTATACCAATTGTATGTCTATGGGAGGCCTCCCACCTCACTGCCACCAGAGAGGTCAGCCGATTAGGCATGATCTCATAAGGGATATATTTACCTCATAAAGGGGTATATTTATTAAAAGCAACAAAATCAGAATCACTCAGATTCGCTCTCAAGATTCAGTGTTTCATTAACATGCTTACAGGACTGGAGATTACAAAAAGGACCATAGCAGTTTGCAGTTGCTTCTTGATTGTCAAATCCCAATCTGAGATGGGTCCTGGATTTGCTATTTTTAGGCTGGTTTGCTTTCTTCAGTGCAGTCTGCAAGGTGATAGAGGACCTGGCTGTGCTGTCTAGTAGGGATGTCTACAGCACAAGACTAGCTGAACAAATTTACAAAGTATTTTGCAGGTTCACATAAGCTTTCACTATGTATTCCACTGCTTGTCAGGAATTCAAATTTAACAGCTCAGTTGCAGTTGCAACTTTTACCTATGGTTAGACTTGGGTATAGCCAGGGCTTAGTGTAGAAACCCAAGACTATAACACTCTATATATGATCTTCTAATTATCATACCCAGTAGCACACGAGCTGTCTTGTTTCTAGATTAATCTATTGCTGAATACCATTCGAGTATAATCAGTGTGAATCCCCTGTGCTGCACAAGCAGTCAACTTTCAAGATTAGCAATCTACATTTGGGTATAATCAGTGCCATTCCCAAGTGCTTGATTTACTCGACCTTTGTATTCAACCCAATTATCTTTTGAATAGTTTCAGTATGAATCTTCCACAGAAATATAATGTATGTAGGTTTTCCTTACCAGTCTTGCCATTGGTTTCAATGCTAGTTTTGTAAAGAATAAAATGAACAATGCGAATCCTATAAAAAAAAAAAAAAAAAAAAAAAAATAAAAACAAGAGGA